CCCCCCCCCCCCCCGCGGAGCAGGTGGACCTCACGTTTTCGCGGGGAGATTTTGCGCCGCTGGACCCGTGGCGCCTGCTCTCGGACGTGGACGGCAACAAAGCGAGTGGTTGGAGGTTGCGCACGAGGCAGATTGCTGCTGTCGTAGTAGCAGTTGTGAACATCCCCCACGCAAGCACGGGGTGTACTCACGAAAACGCGTCCCGTAGTCGTTAGACCATTGACCTCGCATCCCGAACATGTCGAACCGTAGCGATATGCCGGGTATGCGGGAGGGATGGTGGGTGCTTCAGGGGCATGCGCGTGGCCGTGGTGATCACATGGGTGTGTTGCGTGGCTGAGGTGACCTTACTAATTTGTCGAAGGTGCTGTATGATACAGCAGCAGTCGGCTTTCTCCTTCTTTGTACTCATTTCTTTTTGTGCACCAGGAATCCGGCCTTGAGAGCGCGGTCGCCGTACGATTCTTGGAGGGGTTCCACCAACACGAAATTTGCTCCTGCAGGTTGCATTTATCTGCAACCATATTTCCCAATATTTTGGGAACATAGATGTTAGTTCCTCTCGTCTGTTCAAAGCAACCTTTGTGTCCGAAGTCGAACCTGGAACACCGGATGATTTCGTCCACTTGGTGCCCTCACCCTTTGGTCTCTTGCCGTGACTTCCATCTAGGGATCTCTTCTAAACGTGATAAGTTGGCAATAAGGTATGCGACGGATTGTCATCGTTTTGCTCGCTGTTGCCTTTTTTTTCTTCTGTTACGCCGCCGGCGTTCAGGTAAACTTTGGCCTTTTCCAGGGCACGAAGCCCCTGTTGGTGGTTGCGGAACCGAAGCCGGGGAGTGGCGCAATGAAGCAAGCCATGTACGAGCTGAACACGCGCATGCCTCGAAAGGTGATACGAGAAAGCGCTGGGAGATCCTTTCCTTCCTTGTTGAGAGTAAGCAGGCCGTTGGTGAAATGAAGCAAGCCACGTACGAGCTGAACACGCATATGACTCGAAAGGCGATGCAAGAAGGAACACGCTGGGTCGATAACATCGTTCGCCGTCGAGAGTAAACAGGCCGTTAGGGTTCTGAGCACTGGCATACCTTGCTGAGGCGGAGTAAGGCGTATCCCGACTGTCGCAAGGTTTCTTGGGCCTCTGGCGGTTTGTTGTCTCTGCCGTTTTCGCCGCTTGGAAGGAGATGGTAGCGCTACAACCCCGAATTCATTTTGTGTCTTATCCTCTCGCGACAAAGCGCCCCAGACTGCTTTTAATAGGAACACCTTTGTGTGACTGCTTTTGGCGCGAGCCTCGGTCCACCTCGTCCCCTTGTGAACGTTCCCCATGCTGTGACGGGTCTAGCCCACCTAGCTGGACCATTCCACCCATACTCACACCGGATGGCATGACCAGGTGGAAACGCATTGGCGTTCTTGTCAGGATGCGCGTTGGCGACCTCGTTAGTGCAGGGGCGGGGGGGGGCGCGCCGTGAAGGTGGCGTGAGCCTCACCGTCGCCTACTCTTTTCGATTTCGCGTCACGACTTTCCGCCCTCATCTTTTGTTTGATCTCTCTGGGTCTCGCGCTGTCGCTGTCTTATCCGCTGTGCCCCTTCCGCCAACAACCGATCGCGAACGACAATGGCGACGACAACAACAACAACAATGCGGCTACCCGCTTGTAGTTGGTCGACGTAGTCGCCGTCACCGTAGATCCGCCGGCGAGCAACCGCAAGGTCGCCAAGAAGAGCCGCATCCTCTTCCCCGTGCTCAGCGACGAGGGCGGGGAGTGGATGCTGGCGTATCGGGTCACACAGGGGGGGCTCCGCGAGAACATGGCCTTCTTGATCGAGCCGGATCTGGGGAGGGTGAGCGAGCCCTGAAGGGGGGGAGGAGGGGGTGTCCTCTTGCGTGTGTGCATGCCCTAGCAGTTAGATCATTGACCAAGCGTCCTCGAGAGGACGGAGGACGGAGTGGGCGGGGGTGTACTCATAGTCGTGCATGCCGTAGTCGGTAGACCGTCGACGTCGCATCCCTACAAAACCGGGACGGATCACGCCGGGTTCTCACCGGATCTCACACCGGACCAGGCTTTCGCATCACCAAACGCGTGGCGCCGTGAGGTATTCGGCGAGTCGCATGGAGGGTGCGCTGCATCCTGCCAAGGGTGATTGGCATTTTGTCGTTGCTTCCTTGCGTGCGGATGAAAGCTGCGAATGACTTGATCATTTTCTGGTGCTTCTGACTTCCAGAGACAGTTGTTAGAGTTGTGTATCGGCCCCGAGGGTGCTTGACCGATTTACACAACGTGGTGCGATCATCCCCTTTGCGCGGAGTGAGGGTTCTCGACCCCGCACAACAAAATCTACTCGATGATGTTACCGCAAAAAAAAAACAACGGTAAGAAATAAGCGGTGACATTGTTGTCGAGCTCACTAAGCGATCGACTTGTTTTACTACGTCGCTGCCAAGCGACGACAACCCAACCCCGATGGCAAGCACCGTGGAGGTGTACGGGGGGGGGGTGGAGTATGACAAAACAAGAGATGCAACGATTTTCGCCCATATTACCTCGCCGGTTTCGTGCAGGTGCAGTCGCCGCCGTTGCTTTGTCCCGTGGTAAAGTGAACGACGAAAAATAACGGGCGAGTACCCTTCCCCCCTCCTGTCTATCGTCTACCCTGCTCAGATCGTCAACGTGTGGTCAAACTTTGATGCCCTCTCTTTGGTGGACCTCGTGAAGGGCCACTTCAACCCAGACCGATGATGGCCGGGGGGGGGCACTGCGGTCGAACGCGGGCGATTGCTGAGATATGATTGGCCAACGACAGGCGGATTTGTCTTGCCGGATGGCGTCGCTCTCGTTGCTGAGTGTGCAGTTAAATGGGCAATTTGTGCAGCTGACGAAGAGCGCAGAGATGGGGAAGCAGTTCCATGTACCGTGAGGCGATAAGGTGTTTCCCGAGCATTGTAAAAGGCGCTGTAGCTCGAGGGAAATCTCGCGCTGCTGAATCCGCGCGTGCACAGAATTGGACCCTGCTTGTTGTTGGTCTTCTTGTTTTCGACTCTTTTGTTTTTCCTGACTGGCCGGGGTAGAGGGGAGAGCATAAGGCGCTCCTCGTCGTCCGGTACATGCCTCTTGGGCGCGGGGTATGTTCGTAGTCCAGAGTCTGTTCACGATGAGCATGTGCGACGCTGGATTCGCTGCCATGTGTCTTTGGTTGAAAGATATGGCAGCCGCCGTGGTGCCGGCAACGCCGGTTCGTTTATTATCTCCTTGGGGGAAGGACATACGACTTCATCTCGAAAAAGTTTGCATCTGCCCGAGACATCCGCGATGAAAGTAAATCGAGAGCTTGGAAAGGTCATTGATGTGATGAGACCGTAGTTCAGTTCCCTACCTACAGTAGATTGCTCCATTTCTTGGCTGCGGAGACTAAACCCGAGCTGTGCTCGTTTGCCTTCTCAGGCTACTGCTGCAACACACGCACGATGTTGAAACCAAAATTAGCTACGGTACAGGACGATAGTATTGGCGGGTTATTGGATCCACCGTGTCGGTAGAGGCCGCCGTGTCCTTGTTTCGTGAAAAAGGATGCCGATATGATTGCTCGCTGTTATCCGCACGCCATGACCCGAAGGGACTGCTGTTCGTGTCTGCTCTCTTGTCTGGTGGTTGTTTCGAGGGCGCAAGTCATGAGAACGCCTAATTGGGTGCCGTGTTCCCCTGTGTACACCATGCATGCATGCATATTGTGCCAAGGTTTCGCAACCTGGATTCTGTTCTGGTAGCGCCGCCGATCGTTCCGGTTTAGGCCTGTATTTTGTAAGGCGGCAGGTTGATAGAGTGAACAAATCGAATACTCCGTAGAAGTACTGTGGGGACGTGTTCGTGGGTTGAAAGAAAGCCTGACGGACTCGGGCATTGAACTTTTGTTGAGAGGCACACTGACCTGGACCACTATGTAGGTGGCCATAGACCAGCGTCGACTTGATATTGTTCGTGATACTGCTTTTTTGCCGCACGGAATCCTTTCATCGATTTCGATGGTCAAAACGAGGTGCATTCCCCCATGCCTAGTTGCAAATTTCTTGTTGCTGTACTCGGTTTCGGACGAACAAATATACCCGCTCACCAAATATCACCTTTTCGTGCTTTTGGTCAACCGTTGGGCACCGCGTGAATTTATGAATTGCACCTACCTGTGGGGGGCGCGGCTGGGTGGGTCAACAGTCAGAGAGCGTTTATCACCACGTCTTGGTGAATCGAAAGAGGATATTGTGTGTTGCCCCCCATCATTGTCCGCCTCCCCTAATTTGCTCACATGCATGAAGTACATGGGCGGTATGTATTCTGCAGCCAGTCTTGTCGATCTATTGATGCGATAAGATCCGCAGGAAAAGTACCACACATTTATTTCAATGCCACGGAGAGAGGGCCGGAGGCGGAGAGAGAGAGAGAGAGAGAGACAGAGAGAGACAGAGAGAGAGAGGGGGGGGGGAGAGGGACAACGGGGCCCGGTAGATTGCCTTGCGGGCTGGGACAGTTGGACGCGAAAGGGGACGACTTGGTGGTCTCAGCAGGAGTTTACATTTCTCCCAGGTCCAAACTGTTGTTGATTGCTGGCCACAATTTCGCGAGCACACAGCACACAGCGGCGTGCTCACAAACTATGGTATATGACTATAACAACTTGTTGGTTGTTACAGTCGGATGCCATAGCTCAAAAATATAAGTATGTCCAGGGGCAACGCAAAATCCTTTCAATAAGGTCCCTACTTTTCTCCTGGATTGACCGCGTGCCCCCTTGCTCTATCCTCTGTCTCGCCTCTACTCGTGGGGTCGAGTGATAGCCCAGCACGACGGAGGAGTATCAGGTGTACTCCCCATGGCGAACGACGACTGGGATGGTGCGGCCCCGATGAACAAGGCACTCAAGGTGCTGGCCACATCCTCCCGCCCCATTTCCGCCTCTAGGGTCAAGACAGCAGCAGCGAGGGCCTTGGATAATGTCAAGGTGTGTGTGATCCTTGACTCCAGAGTTACACACCACCGTCGGAGAAGCATGCCTGTTTCGACGACGCCCGCGGGATTGAAGGGGTTCTTCCCGCGTAGTATGTGGCGGCGTAGCCCCCTCCGGAATACGTACATTTCTCTCCGTCGTACAAGGTTTGAGGAAAATCCATGGTTTTCGTGAAACGGAGAAAATCGGCCTGGGTAGGGAGAGAGGACGTCGGCAATACTAAGTCGATACCTGCCTGCCCTGTCACCTCCACGCCCTTTTGGGGTGTGTATGGTATGCCCCTGGTTTCCCGCTGTTGTTGACCCTGCGCTGGTGGAGGACCGTAGTAGTGTGCCGCTCGAGAGAAGACCAACTGCTGCGCATCAGGCGCGGCTCAAGCTGTCGATCCTCTCCTCTCTCTCTCTACGCTGTGTGTACATATTACTGTTTTTTTGGGGGGTCCTTTTGTCACTGCTGCTGCTGTCGTTGGTATGTATTCGATGCATCCAAAGCCAGTCTACCGCGGGCAACCCAACCAAGTTCTGTCTGTGTTGGCGTTTACCTGGTGGGCAGGTTTGACTTTTTGGCACAGCAAGCTATGATTGGTCGGTCACAAAGTCAGGCCGGATGAATCAATGTGTGCGGGCTCTTGTCGTGACCCAACCCTGCGGCTCATGAGAGCCCTCCTCAAGAAAAAAAGATCGGGTTTCTTTCGTCCCTCGGGTAGGCCGCTGGGTTTCCCCCCACTTCAGCACATCCCTTTCGACTGAGGTTATATCTCGAACGGGTAGTCTTTCTGTGGGATTATGTTGACCTTCTAACAATAAGCAAGAGAGAGTAGCTTATGCATACAAAAGATGGCAGGCACTACCGATGCACTGGCTGTCTCACATTTTCTCCACTGCGACAAACTATGAATATGTACTGCTGTATGGGACTCTCTATTTGTAGTTGCTTCTCTTTCTCACCTCGACCCCCCCCCCCCCCCCCCCCCCCCCCCCCCCCCCCCCCCCCCCCCCCCCCCCCCCCCCCCCCCCCCCNCCCCCCCCCCCCCCCGGCATATTTTGGTGTTAATGTCATGTATCGTCGGAAACCGATGCATGCGAGGAGGTAAACGCGCATCCATTTTGCTTCGCGCAACTTTATGTTGCAGAACCTTGTCTTTTGCCACCGGCTGACCTGTTATTTGCATTGCTTCAATCAGGCTCTCTGGATGCTGATTTGACACTTCCGTAGCTCCCGTGTCTTGTCGCCCGGTCCAGCTGCCGACGTGTGCCGAACGCAAGTCTTGGGCGATGTCGTATACTGCCGCTGTTGCTGCCGTCATCATTATAACATGAACAGCTGTTCTGGCGTCTACCCAGCACCGTTTTCATGAACGTCCGCGCTAATTGTTGGGGCCAAATAAGGAAAAAAGATGTTAAGCTTTAAAAACCCCAAGACTGAGGCACTCCAGATGCTGGGCTTTGGTCCCGGTTTTCCATCCTCTCCGCCCACAGCTGCGCGCACTGGCCTGACTTTAGTAGCACCCTGGCAACCAAAATCGCCCTTTTTTACCGGCGACCGAACTTGCCGCAATCGACAGGAATACAAGCGAGTCGTGCACGCCATCGAGCGGTACATCAGGAAAGCCCAGCCCCAGCACCGCATCGGAGGTAAGATCAAAGGAGGGGCGACCACCAGCGGCGGCGGCGGCGGGCGTTTTCTCGGCCCGGTCACCGCCGCTAGGTAGTACTCAAGGCAGCCGTTCCCGCGCGCCTTTCGTGTCTGGTTTGCGGCAGCAATAGCCGCCGGGCACCTCCGCCGTCGTATGTTGTAGTGGAGGCACCCGCTTGCGTGCCACTTTTTTGTTTGCGGCCGCTATGGCAGGTTTCTCGCCGTCCTCGTGGGGGCCCTGCTATTGGTAAACCGCCGGCACCCACATACCCCACCTCTCCGTGACGTTTGTTTCTTCTTGCCACGTTGGCGTTGCTGGCTCCAGTGGTGTGCAAGACAGCAGTATGTAGTAGGATGCAGATGCGCTCGGTACCCTTTAGTACCAAGAGTTACGCTTCGAGTAGCGCGCGAACCCTCTTCGCGGCATTAACAGCACACAAATGCTGTGACGGACGAAAACACCTCAAATTCTTTGCATTACCCGCGAATCTCGGCGAACGTTATGATGAGTTTTTTTTACCTTTGTGGCCGCCGATGGCCCCCCCCACCCCCACCCTCTTTCTTCAGGCTGCTTCGTGATCGATTCCGTGTGCCGACAAGCTCATTCCAAGTGGGGCCACAAGGACGTCTTCACTCCTCGCTTCGCGCAGCGCATGTCCGAGACCGTGGAGAATCTAAGAAATGTGAGAGAATTGGGAAGGTGGGGCACTCATGTAAACGCAAGCCGTAGCCGTTAGGCCTGACTTCGCATCCCTGCAATGCCGGGATGGAGCAAGACGCAGGGTTTTCGCCGGCCCAGGGTACGGTTTGATAAGGATGAAGCAGATGGAGGGAGGGAGAGTTAACGCTTGGCCCTTGGGGGTGTTTGGAAGTGTATTCGGTCACGTATCGAACCGAGTGCCTCTGTGGTTGTTTGTGTGTGTTTTGTTGGCATTGACCGCGCTAGCCGGCTGACCAATGAGAGGAGAAGACGTCAGTCTTGTAGGGGGACAAAAAACAAAAAAACGCGGAATATGCTCGTGTGCTCATGTGTTTGTTTAGTTAGCATCGACCGCGCAAACCAGCTGACCGATGACAACGCATCAACGCCTGCGGCGTGTGTTCGTGCTTGTGCGGAGAATCTTGTTGCCGATCGCGTGGAGAAAGGCGGCGCCCGCTTGAGCTGTTTGTTTCTTTCGGAGCTATCTCTAGTCCCGTTGTTAACCGCTCCCGTTTTCGCTACCTCGGAGTTGAGGCCTCCACATAGTCATCCGCTCTCCGCCGTGCAACGTACAACGCACCACAGCAGCTGCTCCCTCTTGACCCGAAAACGATGTGTCTGCTGTACGAATTAAGGATTGACGCGTTTTTTCTCCTCCCTCTACCATTGGCCGATGATCCCCCCTTCACGCTCTCGTGTGCCTGCACAGGTGCCCGATGGGGACAAGCCGCCGGTGTTCCGAGTCATCCGAGAATGGCACGAGAAGGGGATGTTCAAGGGGCTCGAGGCGTTCGCCTCCACGGGGGCTGCGGGAGCCGCGGCTCCCGCCGCTCCCGCTCCCGCCGCTGCTGCTGCGCCGTACTCGTCGTATCAGAACCCGGCCCCGCCCCAGATGCCCGCGGTGTCTGCCGCTCCCGCCCTGATGCCCCTGCCACCGCCGACCGGGGTGATCCACCTCGGGCTAAAGGCGGGAGACACGTACGGTAGCGCTTATCCGCCGCACGCGGCGGCGGCGGCGGCGGCGGCGGTTAACGGCGTAGGTGCTCCGCCAGGTGGTGCCGACCCCGGCGCCGCCGCTGCCCCTACGTACGCGCCGTCGTACGAGCAGCAGCAGAGCAGCAGCAGCCCCGCCCCGGCAGGCGTTGCCAACGGTGGGTGGGGCGGTAGGTTGGACGAGCCCTTGTCTGACTCGCGGTTTGTCCCGCAGGAGCCGCCGCTGCCGGACAACGACCACGCCGTTTCTTCTGGGACCGATGTCGGGGGCGTGCAGCAGCAGCTGCAGCAGCCGATGGTGCCGCCACCGCCACCGGGCCCCCCGCCTCCGCTGGCGGCAGCGGCGGCGCCGGGGGGGACGACGACGAATGGGACGTCTTCGGAAAACTCGTTGGAGCAGCAGCCGGGGCAGCAGCAGCAGCAGCAGCAGCAGCAGCAGCCTCCCCCGCCGCCACCGCCGCCGCCGCAGACGGCGGCGGAGGATAGCAACGACTCCGCGAAAAAGGAGGAGGAGCAGGAGGAGGGGGAGGTAGAGGATGAGCAGCCGCCGCCCCCGCCGCCGCCCAAGACCGAAGGGAAAATCATGGAGCTGTGGAGCCTGCTCAACATGGCGCAGGCGTCGGGCGCTGCCGCTACCGCGGCGGCTTCCGCGAGCGCCGGGGCGACGACCGCCGGAGCTTCTTCCCCGGCGGGGGGCGAGGACTCCTCGATGGCCGTCGACGACGATAACGACGCGGGGGGCGACGACGTAGGCCAGCAGCAGCAGCAGCAGCAGCAGCAGCAGCAGCCGCCGCCGCCACCGCCTCCCCTGCCGCAGGGCCCTTCCCTGGACCACAGCGGGATGATGCCTCCAGGCGGCGGGGGCGGGGGTTTCAACAATCCCCGTCCCCCGCCCTTTCCGGGCAGGAGCGGCTCGGACCTCGGCCAACCGCCGCCGCCCCCGCCGCCCCCGCCCGGGGACGATTCCGGGCCGCCGCAGCAGTACGACCCCTTCGCCGCCGCTGCTCCGGGTACCGGGGGCGGCATGCAGGGCCAGCAGCAACGCCAGCAGATGATGATGGGGCCGCGGGGTCCCGGGATGATGCACCACCACCATGGCGGCGACCAAGGTATGCCGCCCGGCGGCGTCGGGGGGGCAATGAGGGCCGGCGGCGGTGGGAGGGGCATGGGAGGAGGCGGCGGCGGGATGGGGCCCCGCGGACTGCCGCCCGGCGGGATGAGGCCCGGGATGGGCATGGGCGGGGAAGGAGGAGGGATGGGGGGAGGCCCGCCTCCTCCTCAGGCGGGAGGCATGTTCTTCCCCGGTGAGTGCGACGGCGATGTGTATGCCTCCGCAGCATGAGGAAATGTTTTTCGTTTGCAGGTTCAAGCGTAGTGTTTCGTGTTTCGCATTTGTCGGCGGTGCTTTCGTCGTCGATCCTCGAGATGCCGGAGCTAGTGAATATGTGCCTGCTGACGTTGGAGTCAAGAAACATCGTAAGTGTCCTTGTAAGTCTCTGTTTCTGTCGGGCGAGCAGCAACTTTGCTGAACAGCAGGTTTCGTTTCTGGAGCCCTCTCGCCCCCCCTCAAACCCTCTCCCGTTCCTGCAGCCACGTACGTCTGATGCCCCGCCCCCCTCCCCGGCTCGCAACTATCACAGGCGGGCCCAATGGCCCTCGAGGGAGACCGAGAGGCCTCCCTCCGGGGGGCATGGGTCCTGGGAACGGTCCTGGGAACGGTCCCGGGAACGGCTGGGGATCGCCCGCACCCCCGCAGAATAACGGCCAACCCAGGAACAACGACGCGCCGCCACCGCCGTGGGGAAGCCCGGGTGGAAGGGGGGGCGGAGGGGGCAGGGGAGCGGAGGCGGCGTCCCCGGGTGGTAGGCCGGGTTGGGACTCGCAGCAGGCGGCGGCGGCGTCGGCAGGACGACGGGGGGATGGGGCGGGGGGCGAGAATGCCAACAAGAACGGGAACGCGCGTTCTCCGGCCCCTTCCGGCCGACCGTCTCGGTGGGGCCCGCCAGGTGGTGCCGGCGGCGGCGGCGGCGGCGGCGGCGGGCGCGGTGAGTAGCTTGTTTGCTTCGATGACTTGGATTTTGGAATAATCAACACCCTGGGATGAGCGCTTTCGGGAGGAGGTACGGTGCACATGCCAGCCCTTCGGGCCCCCCACAACTTCAGTGAACCTCGCCAGTGTTTCCTCGGTGTGTGCGACGAGAGTTATTCGGATAGGGGTACGGTTGCCCGCAACGTGCGAACCCTTGCTGAGCTTTGGCCGCCTATTTTTCCTTGAATTCCACTCACAAAGCACACACAAGCACACACGTCGAGTCTACCAGCGTGGTGGGTGAAAACCCTATCCGAAACTCACACGTTGTTGGCACATACTGCCTTGCAACAGGCCCTAACGATAGCCTCGCTGGCGGCGGCGGATCTGAAAACTTTTCGGGACCGAGAACTCCGGGTGGTCCGCCCGGTCCACCAATGGGCATGGGGAGCCCGGGGGGTCGAGGGGGAGCGATGCAGCAGCAGCAGCACTGGCAAGGGCAAGGGCGGGGTCATCCACGGGGTGCCGCAGGCGGCCCGCCGCCGCCGCCGCCGCCCTCCGCGCGAGGGCCCCCGCCGCCGCCGCCGCCGGGCCAGCAACAGCCGCAAGGCTCGCCGCCGCCTCCCCCGCGAGGCCCGCCCGGTGGAATGATGCTGGGAACGGGGGGGCAGCAAGAAGGGATGGCCAGGCCTCCTCCTCCTCCTCCTCCTCCTGGAGAGGAGTCTCCGCGAGGGGGGGGTCCGATGCCGCCGGCGGGACCGTCACGCGGTCCTCCGGGGCAGGATCGGTGGCACCAGCAGCAGGGGCCGCAAGGGGCGGCGGGGTCGGAGGACGGGCTTGAGCGGTGGCCTGGGCAAGGCGGGGCGCCTGGAGAGCGAAGAGGTGGAGGGCCGCCGCCGCCGCCGCCGCCGCCGCCGCCGCCGCCGGCTGGGCGAGCCGGGGTGGAGAGCGGTGGTGGGCTGGTGCCGCCGCCGCCGCCGCCGCCGCCGCCACCGGGCGGGGAGGGGGAGAAGGAGGACGCGCCGCCGCCTGCGGCGGCCCCCACGCTTGCCGAGGGCGGCAGTGTTCTTCTCAAGTCGAAGGTGTGTTTGGTGTTGTCGCGGGTCTTTTGTTTGCCGTGCGGTTTTGCCAAAGGGGGGAGGGGGGGAGTTGTACTCATTGTCGTGCATGCCGTAGTCGTTAGACCATTGACCTCGCATCCCTACAAAGCCGGAACAGAGCACGCCGGGTCTCACCGGACCAGGCTCTCACATCACCAAGCGCGGAAGCACCGTGAGGTATTGGGCGAGTCGCATGAAGGGTGCGCTGCATCCTGCTAAGGATGTTCGGGGGGGGGTTATCTCGAGAGCACACCTAGACGTAAATACTGTTTTGCAAGGTTGACGCACTCCTTTCTGGTTTTCGGAGCGTTTTTGAACGTCTCGGCCTGACTTTTTTCTTTTTCGCAGCCATGAGCTTTCGTAAGATGGTTGAGGCCCGGCTCTCGGTCCGTTCTTGTGTGCAGGAACACACGCTGGGGGCAGGCCGGTTTTGACTATGCGAGCCTTGCGAAAGGGCCGTGTCTTTGATCCTTGCTAGAAATCAACGTGCAAGGAATGTTGTTGCCAACTATCGATAAAAGGACAACCTCGGGTGCCGAACTCGTCGGTGTCATGATGTTTTCCCGAATGCTGGGTTTCCGTCATGACCCCCCCCCCCCNCCCCCCCCCCCCCCCCCCCCGTGTCTTAGCAGATTGATTGCAGCGCTAGATTAGAGACGCAGCGTACAAACTGGCGGTCTCCCCCCCTCGAAACGGTTCACGATTGGTTGCGCAGCTCCCGCATGGCGGACCTACTTAGAACCAAGCGCACCCTCTCTAGATTCGTGGGATAGGTAAGGCTCTACGCACCCAATGCGTTATCAGCTAAGTAAAACACCTGTTCCTTACCTCACCCCTTCCCAATGTCAATGGCCAAGCAACGAATGCATGCACGGCAATGAGTAAACCCCCGTCCCACTTTCCTGTACTCTATCGGCTAAAAACTCGCTCGGACGAATAATCACCTAGATAACGGACGCGAATTGGTCGGACGGCTCGCTCGACCCCGAGGACAACGAAGACGACGACGCCGACTTTGATGACGACTTCGGGGGCGGCGAGGACGACGACGCCGCCACTGGAAACTCCCCAAAGCGCCAGAAACTAGCTTAAAGTGGGCATGGTCTGCTGCGGGGACACTCCAGGAAACGCCAGAAACGAGCTTGAAAGGGGGCCAAGCCTGCTGCTTGCCCTGGAGCTCCAACAGGACTGGATGTGTACGTGTAGGTAGTGTAGCAGTATGGACCGAGCGGCAGGGGTGGCGCATCGCGGCACCGACGGTCTTGTAGTTGGGAGAAGAAAGGCAGCGGCCTTGTGGGGGGGGGGGGGGGGGGGGGNGGGGGGGGGGGGGGGGGGGGGGGGGGGGGGGGGGGGGGGGGGCAGACGGGATGTTGAGGAACTCCTTCGGAGCGAGCGTGGCAGCCCTCGGCTGGTGCGGTGGCATCGTATTTTGCTCCAGGATGACCGAGATTCATGTGGTGAGGTCGGTGCGGAGTATCGACGGGCCGCTGGGCAGCAAGGGACAGCCCACCCTTTTTTTCCGAGTGAGATGGCGACGACGATTGTATAGGGACTGACACCTGCCCGGTGCCGGTAGGTACAGCTTTGATGTTTACGCATTGAGGTCAAACCCCGGTAAACGGCGGCTGTAACTATGACGGTCCTAAGGTAGCGATATTCCTTGTCGGGTAAGTGTCGACCCGCATGAATGGTGTAACGTTGACTACGCCGGGTCATCCCGCAAAACGCCGGGTCATCCCGCGGAAGACGGACGACTGCTGGTTGTCCGGCGATTGCGTCGCGGGCTTCTCTTCACGATCGTGCTCTTGATCGTGTGGCGACCGACAAAACAGAAGTGTAACCGACACGTTCTTTTGGTTTGTCTCTTCCAAGTACTGATTTTTCCCGCCACCAGTGCTGGACCCCTACCTACCGCATGCAGTTGGTGAGGCCAAGAGAGGTGTTGACTTTGAGTAGTCGACTCCTGGTAAATATACAGGCGATTGGGCTGACCTTATGCCACGTTTTGGGGTGGGCGAAAATCCTATGTATGACGACATACGCGAGCTATGTGGTTCGAGGCGTTTACAATCCATTTTTTTTGGTCGTGTTCTTATGCTCAGAAAAACACTGGAGTTGGTTAGGTACGTCGTGCTTTCTGCGTGTTCGAAGGTTGCCACGGGTGTAGGGAGGTACATAAGTAAATGGTCATACCGAGTTCTGCCTGGTGTTTCAACAAAGGTGGTGCCCCGTGGCTTTGAAGGTGTCTTGTGGGTAATAGTAGGTAATTTACGTGGCAACACGCTTTGCTGTAGTTGGGCGCGGCGGCTTTCCACCGGGTCTGCTAAAAACCTGCTCGCTCCAGGATGTTGCTGAGCAAGCTGAGTCGTGTCTTTTGTGTGCACGGGCACGCACGTCTTCATGTTCCATCCAAAGATTCGCTCCGTTCCATCAGAGAATTCGCTCCTCTCGTGAGAGACGATGATAGCGAGACGTTTAATGATTTTTGGAGGGGGTCGGTCATCGGAAGACTCTTGCTGGTTGTTTCCTCCGTTGCGTCGGGTGTTTATGAGTGCATTAACAGAAACCACCCCTTCCCCATGGGGTTCTTTTGGCACAGCATCGAAGACGGGGATCTGCTGTTTGGGGGTGGGGGGCGGAGAAGTTTTGGGCCGTGCGACTTGACGTGCTCGTCAAACTATCGAAACGTCTATCTATACCGTCGGGGGCAGCCTTAGTTTGTCATTATTTATGCCAAGAGATGACAAAATTCCCACTTGCCCCCTCCCGCCTGTTGGTGTGTCTCACACAAGAAGGAGGGCAACTGATCGAGGGAATCTGAAATATGCGCGGTAATAACCGTGCACACACGCAAAAGAAGCGGCGGCTTTCAACTCGATGCTTCTCTCAAGACCTTTCCTGTCTTCGTTGCAGGAGTCGGGAGACGGTTTGTCCGTAAGACAGCCATGACCCCCTCCTCCCTCTCTCTCTCTCGCTCCCCTCTCCCCTTCGTGGGAGTTCTTGTCGGCAGGTTTTCCAAGAGGCCGGCCGCGAGGATGCCTTGAGTCACGCTAGGCTACCGCCGGCTGCGCTTGAATTGTTGCTTGGACGTGGTCTTGTTTTCAAGTGTCAGGCATGGCCGTCTAAACGCAGGCACGCCCTAGACTAGACCGCAGCCGGATGCGCGTGAGTCGTTGCTTGGAAGTCGTCCCTTTTCTAGGTGTATCAGACATGGCCGTCTAAACGCAGACGCACCTTAACGCTGGGACAAACGAGGACCGAGCAAGGCAGGCGAAACCCCCCCCTCCAGTTGCCGCTTAGTTTCTGGTCAGACGACGAGAAGCAGAGTGGTGTTCGAATGGCTAACGTCATCACTTGATTGAATGGCGATGGCGATGATGAAAAAACATAGCGCAACACGGCATTTTAGATAGTCCGCACCGGTTATCATGTTCTAGCACGTACCGGTCTCGGTGCGTGTACCCACGAAATTGCCATCGAGTTCCTGGGTTAACTGCTACGAGGGAGCCCTATGTCATGGTTAATTGTGTCACAAGATGGGGTTGCCACGCACAAAGCCAACGCAACGTAACCGTAGCCCCCCCTCTTGCAGCTCCGTTTGGCTTTGCGCCGCCGTCGCCACTTCCTCTTCCAGCCGTAACGCGTACAATCCCCCCGTGATGGTTGACGCGTAAAAGACGGGGGCCCCCGTCCTCGAGTCGCGCTGAATGGCAAGGCCGGTATACCCGCCACACTCGGGTTCTACGTGATCTACCAGAATGCTTCCTGAGAACATGTCATCGAAAGGGATGGGTTGTTCGATAAGCGCGCGGGGTAAGGGCAGGACGGCTTGTCCATGTGAAGAAAACAACACCCAACCACAATTAAGCATTTGCAGTTTGCGAAGACTCTCTGACCTTAACGCTCAACCTATCTGCCCCAAGGGTTTTCTAAGCGAGGTTGCTTCGGAATTAGCGACGTGTTCTATACAAGAATAGACTACCAGTGTTTCCCTCGCACGATCTCCGTGACTGCTCACAGCTGGGAACGACGAAATACTTTGCAGGGCCACACGCCACGTTGTGCGCACCCTTTCGGTCGGGTTTAGAGGAGGGCTGGCGGTTACGACCGCTACAGGAGGGGGTTGCGGTGGTGGGGGCTAGGGAGGGACTTTGGAAGCCAACCGAAGAATCCGCGGAGCAAGCCTCACGATTCGGAGCCGGCGCCGACACGAGCGCTCGCATGTTCTAGTCAAAAGAACCACAAAAACCGGAAATGGAAGCGACATGGCAAGAGACAAACACCAGCTCTGTCTTTCACGAGAATGCGACTAGCGCCCGCAATTAAGAACTCAGCGGTTAGCGAACTCACGGTCAACATCTTATCAAATATTGGAACTTGAGCACCATTTATGAGCCCGGCTGAGAACCCCTACACTAAAATATCTGTGTCCGTCACGTTTGTAGCCCCACGAAGAGGAATCAAGGACCCCAGCCCCGGCCAAAACTATTGAGGTGCTTAATGTGCGGGCGCATTCTGCAGACGGTGTAGACGATGCGCACACCGCAATGTCGGCGGATGATTGTGATAGTAGATCCACCCACCGTCAGCAAGGTCGTAGATCTTGACAGTCCCGTCCTTCGAAGCCGTAGCGATCATCCCGCGGGAGGAAGGAGCGGACAGTGAAGTCGATGGGGAGGGCGACACACCATAGCCGTTCTCTTCTACCCCACTCCCGTCATCTCCCCCTTCCTTCGAAGTTACAAACACGCAGGCGGTGGTGTCCTGAGTGTGCCCGGTGTACTCCCTCACGGGAATTCCCGGGCTCCGCAGGTCCCATAGCTGTCAAAACGCCGCGCACACAAGAAGTACGGCGGGCGCGTGTGGAAACTACTGCGACGCGTGTGGTTGTTTCGTGGGAGCTCATGTTCGCCAGGTGGCCCCGATCTCGTTCATGTCGTAGTTGGAGAAGGAAAGTGAGGGAAAGCGGGGGTCGGTATAAGATCGGCTGCTGCGGTGTAAACGGCAAAAACCACACCGCAAACAAAGCACACCGATATCTAGTACATCACGTCCAGTTTGGGACACAACATGCCCAAGGTAGCATCATGCGAGATCAGCTCTAGGCCAACGGCAAACCGATGCAGTTTGGGACACAGAGCGACCAAGGTAGCACCAAAAGAGATGAGCATTAGACAGGCGGTAAGCAGGTGCCGATGGCATCGACATCTGCTTGGCGTCGGGACGAAGCTCATCTCCAATGATGAAATCTTGGCCATTCTGTGTCCCAAACTCGAGCTGCCATGTTGGTTACATTATTTATAGTCTATCCAACGCATTGTTCGGGAAAGACAGCCCTGACCCCAGGAAAATGGCAACCTTGGGGCAAACTCCGAGTTTGTGGCTCAGCAACTAAATAGTTGACGGACTCCTGCATTTGTTGAAAATCACGATGACTGTCTGCGGAGTGCTGGTAGTCCAGTCAGCTGACTGATAGTCCAGTGGTCGTCGTGATTTTCAACATTTGGCAAGGGCTACGGCCACGAAGCCCGGGTCGCGCTGCATCGAGAGTAATGCCAAACACCTCACCCTAGAGTAGCATAGTGTCAAACGACCAACGTCGATGCCAAGCACCTCCGTCTTGCTCACAAGCAGGGCACTCCTTGGTATGGAATTAAGAAGAAACAAGGGTAGCGAAAGGAAAGACCATCTCAATGAATGTCACACGGAGACTGTCCCGACGCGCATTTAGTGTACAGCGAACGGAGAAGGGAGTGTCTGCGCACTGTCGAGCTAGCTGTGGACTGTCGTGGAGAGTTTCTCAATACCTCTGTCGGAATATACGCTGACCTTCGTTTCGCACCCAGCGCCGCTACAGCCCTTGCAAGACGTGAGGACCTGATGACCGTCGCTCGAAGCGTCGAGGCAAAGCTGCGCAATCAACCAAGGCAAGAGGCGTGCAGCTGTGCCATAAGGTATTGACGTGCCTGCCTACAGAGTCGAGGTGGCCATGTGACAACGCAAACACACCGAAGGGAGAAGGTGGACTTCATTCGTATCATGTAGGTAGGCCCGAGGGAGGAATTATCGGAAGCTGACGAGACACCACTTCTACCAGTACCCCCCCTCCCCTCCCTCCCTCCCTCCCTCCCTCCCTCTTGTGGGAACAGTATTGTTCTCCTGCCTCTCGAGGACGTGTGGCCAACGGTCAAACAGCTAAGGCATTGTCCCCCCGCCCCCCCCCCGTCACCCGGTTGTTTCGTCGAATAGCCCCACAAGCAGAGTCAACAGGTGCTACAGCGTTAAGGTAACCCCACCGGGAAAAAGGTGTATCCGTCGATGGTCATCGAAGGCCTCAGCCCCCCCTCTCGAGCGTCCCACACCCTGAGCTTCAAGTCTTCCCCTCCTTGCGCTACGGAAGAAGACAATTCCCCCGAGAGGCACTTGAGGCAAGTGACCAGGTTGCGTGGCACCTTTGCCGAGGAGATGCACTGTCCCGTTTGGACGTCCCATGCGCGTATGCTGGTGTCCCGAGATCCGGAGTAGAGGGCTTTCTCGTCTTCCAGGGAGTGTTCGTAGGGCGGCGGGTCGTCGTCGTGAAACAGTTTCGAAAGGATGGATTGACGAGCGGGCAAGATCTTGCGTTGGGATGGCACATCACCTTGTCACGTACCTACTGTACTGGCCTATGTAGCGAATAATAGTGGGATATATCACGGCTTTGCAGGAGCTACGGCATGTTTTGCTACCTTGAATAGCAATCGAGCGATGTATCTCGCTGCGTGCGTCTTGCGTCACCCGTGGTGGGTTGTGCTCATGGCTTGCCCCGGCATTCATCTGTTGATTCGCACCCATAGAGTACATCTGCATCTTTGCGGACAAAGTGACAAACATCCCGGTACACCCCCACAACACTTCTGTGTTGTCGTGTCAACGCATCACTGCATCTACCCACCTTCGCTGAGCGCTATCGCCGTACAGGCAAGGTCGTGGCCTTCAAATACCCGAAGCGCCGAGATCCCAGATCGATTCCACTGCCTCACGGTAGTGTCTCGCGAGCAGCTGTACATCACACGGGTTGCTGCGCCGTACGTGGCACGAGTGACCGCTTTCGTGTGCCCCCCAAACGTTAGTGTATTTTGGAACACACCGACCTTGTCTAGGCGGTTGTAGAGTCGCAGAGTCTGCGCCGGAAAGAACGAGGATCGTCGTTATGGTTGGTTTGGCGGATAGTTGAGATTTCTCTTTCCGAAGAAATCGCTCATGATACTGCGATAAAATCATGTAGTAAAATCGGGGGCAAAGCCTCGTGTTTTGGCCTAGCACATGGAAGTGCATGTATTGCCATGTTCCACACAACCTCGTGTTGCCCACCGTTCTCTTGAACGAAACGTTTCGCGATTTGTCACAAACGGCTCACAGCAGTCTCAGATGACGCTGACCTTACCGTGAGCGACAAACGTGACGACGAGGAATACAAGCAAGCGCAGAGTTGTTTGGAGAATGAATAGCTCGCAACACGAGCACCACTAGGCGTACCTTGTCTTCCCCGCACGTCACGAATTCGTCCACTCCGGCACTGCAAAAGGATCAGGCGGGCATACGGGAGGCGGACATAACGCATTCGGTCACCACCACCACCGATGATGCAAACAACAAAGATTTTGAGAACCTGTGTGTTGGAGTTGGATGCAATATGTTCCACGCGCAAATTTACCGGCCTGCATCATGCAATATTCAGCTCACTACTCACAGCGAAGCGTGATAGACGTTCGGGTTCAGAATTGCAATGTCCATCCAATGACAAACGCGAGAGAACCGCTATCGGCCCTCCCCGTCGCCCAAGACATCACCAAATCCGTATTAGAATGTCCACACCCGCGGTCAGGCTTCAGTTGTCTGATGTAGTCTAGGCGTTTCTGGTCCAACTTGTAGACGACCGCGTCAAGGGGGATAGGGCCAGAACCCTTGTCATTTTCACCTCGCAACCCCCAGTATTGCCCCTTCATGAACGGCGCCGTTCTCGACGGCACGATCGGGCCTGCTGGGGCCGTCCACTTCACCGACGACGACTACACTGGACGGCTCTTCTTCTTCCGGATCCGTGCGTTCGCTTGAGCTACAGGATCCCATATCTTTGGTTGTGTACAACAGGGCTCGCCAGACAAGGAAATCCTGATGCCGAGTATTCAGTAGACTTAACCTTTACGATGACGTCATACAGAACATTCACGTTCCGCTGGGTCCTGTGTTGTTGTACGCTACATAAGAAGAGACACATGCATGTGCGAGCCCGCAAGAGGGCAGAGGGGCACAAACAGAAAGTATTTTGGGGGTAAGTGGTGAGCGGTTCCAGCGTTGCCCTCCATGTCCCCCCTTGGACAACAGAACGCAGGGTTAGCTAGAGAGAATGACGGCGGTGCGTTGTTTTAGTTGGTCGCCTCGCCGCGATATTTGTTGGCTCTTCGTCTCTTCTTGGTTCTGTCGACTGACTTGTGTATCCCGCACCCGAGACCGAACAAGAAAACATCATCATCAGACCACATCACACGGTTTGCTGGTTCGGGCAGCAGCATCTTCTTCTACACCCAAACACATTCGACGCATGATGATATGGAAATGTTGGCACTAGCCAGCATTAGTCTGTGTTCTTGTATGTCGTACATTTGGTTCTCACAATGTGTCGGTTCGAATGTCGGTTCGAATGTAACGTAATGTACGTGTTGTACTCTGCTGTATAGTCTCAATCTCTCCGTACTAATTCATCACTTGACTCGGCCAATTTCCGTGGTCACAGGCTAACGTACCTAGAAAAGGTATACCAAAATAAAATGGACCCCAAGGGTCAGCAGAGCGATAAAATACAAGAAAACAAAATATAATCAGAAACAAATAAAATAAAATAAAATAAATAATTAGACTAGTGTATATGTATATTCGTTTTTTCAAATAGGTACAACAACTACTGCTGTAATAAACAGTACTTTGTAGTAAATAGATAAACTAACGTTTGTCGGTTATTGCATCATGCTGTAGCCTTTCTGCACGTATACTTGTTTTTCCTAAATACTGCTGTAAAAAGCCCCCCTCGAACGACTATGAATTTCGCTCGAACAGGGAGCTTTTATGTGTTTAAGAAGAAGCCGGATGCGACACCTAGATCATTATTGATCAAAAATAATCTGGCGAAAATGACACGTAGTCGTTCTGTGTGCATATTGGTTTTTCCTAATATATGTATTTTTCTAAATTAAACCAGCAACTACTGTCAACATGACATATTGCGCCGTGTTCCCTGTGCAGGCCACATGTAAATGTACCTACTACGCAAATGTTGTTTTTGTGCTAAGCACCAACTGGTATCACTGATATAAATCATCAGTGTATAGGCTTAAACAAACTCGAAATAAGTCAAGTACCCAGCTGGTTTTCCTCTACTCACTGTAAAGACTGCAACACATCCCCTTCGAGTGTAGTTATACCTCGAACGGGTAGTCTTTCTGTGTGTATATTTGTTTCTCCTAATAGTCTACGACAAATTTTGTCCACCCAGTATTCTCCGCGTGGTAGCCGAGTCGCTCTCTCGCGTGATCCTTCCGGATTGTGTTGGCCACCTAAGCGCCAGTGTTCCAATATCTCAACATCTTCTTCACACCGTGGAAGGACTCTCGTCTTCCAAGCTGCCCTCTCGCACGTGTCATCACCTCGACTAACGTTGACGACACAGCCTCTAGAGTGAGTGTGGGTCACCCCCCTACTAGGGACCACTTTTTTCAAAAAAACATATCTTGCCGATACCATCGCGGAAAGCCTTTCTGTTTTTTTCTTCGTGTTGCTATGGACCTCACCTTTCATTTAAGTCTAAGTGTACTCAATTTGGGAGAGGACTTCGTTCTACACAGCATTCTGCGCCAGGTGATGTATGCTTTTTTTTTGGTGCTGTGTGGTGGCTCCGGCTAAGCCAGGTCATTATATTGACCTATACACTGGCATATTTCCGTAGGGCACATTGTATGTATGTGGTCTAATGTTCTGTTGCTCTCCGCAAGCCCAGTACGAGGCAAACTTGAACCAACAACAGTGCATTTTGCTTTTTCATCCGCTTTTTTTCCTTTTTTTTTCTATTTTACCCCCTCGATCTTCGTCCAAATGGGGGCAAAATTGCGTCTGTATGTCAGATAGAGACTAAATCAACCCGGATGACAACAAAAACTTTCATGGTGTCTATTCTAGGGGTGCTTGACACGATGCCGAAGAAAAAACGGGCAAAAAACACTTGAAATCTCATTGCGTGGTGCCCAAAGCAGGCCATTTTTGGCCAAAAAACAGGCAAAAAAACACGGGGATTTCTTGTTTTTGTCCCCGGGCATGCATATTTTTTTTAATATTTTTTCGGAAATGCTTTTTATTACTACCATTACGATACATGCCAAATGACAAGTTCTGGAAATCATTAGAACGTGCGCAATCACTACGAATTCGAAGTGGTCCTTAATCGGGGCGTTTGTTTGTGTTTTTTTACCGGNAACAGGCAAAAAAACACGGGGATTTCTTGTTTTTGTCCCCGGGCATGCATATTTTTTTTAATATTTTTTCGGAAATGCTTTTTATTACTACCATTACGATACATGCCAAATGACAAGTTCTGGAAATCATTAGAACGTGCGCAATCACTACGAATTCGAAGTGGTCCTTAATCGGGGCGTTTGTTTGTGTTTTTTTACCGGAACCGGTATTTTTCCCTGACAAATGAAGAATACTACGCTGGCACCATGTCATCACCACATGCATTTTTTTTGTTTATTATTGTTTCATCGTTTAGGTCGTGTTATGAGCTAACGTTCGATACCTCTCTGTCGCCACAAATCGTCAAGACACCCGAGAACGACCTCTCAGAGCGGGGGCTCCGTTAAGTGGTCCATAATCGGCACATTTATTTACTCTAAGCCACCGTGCCAGGGTGTCACGCAATAATTCATAAAACAATATTCTACCTGTACCGCAAACAAACGTGGTCTGGACGGTTTGCGTTACGGGCATAGTCTGCCGACTGGACAGCAGCAGTCCGGTATGCTTTGTTCTGGGCGCATCATCAGCCGGCGTCATTAAGGAGGAAGGCCGCACAACAGGAGATTTCGTGTGGTTTCTTTTTCACCTTTTTTCTACAGGGTGCTACGTCACTTTTGGAAGCACAAGAATTCAGCCGTCGCTTTCTCTCGTCGACCGTGAATTCAAACCTGTACCGGGGGGTATTATACACTATAGTCAGAGCTCTGTATTCTACCAACTGACACGCACGGGGACACCTGAGCGGCCGGTACTTGTCCATTTTTTGTCTGTGCGAAAAATATGAATGGCATTTATCAACGCGGAGCAGATTTCGCCAGACCCCAATTCATTAAAATTCACAGCTAGACGCTTCGCCGTATAGGGGCTACTACAGAACGTAGTACGGCTTCGACTCGCAGCTTGCGTGACATATGGAGTCGATCGTTGTTGCCTCCGGTGACCTTCTGCGTCTAGACTGTACATCCATAGCTGCAGCAGCAGCAACGGTAGCAGTACGTACGTACGTACCAGTTCGTATGTGCCCCATACTACCTAGCTTTATTGGAACGAATTATTTTCGTTACATTTTTCTGCTCTTTCTGAACTCGAACGCAATTGCGGCCACACACAACAGGGAATGTAACGCAACAACCCTTGCGGAAAGCGAACATTCGACGAGTAAACGCCATTTGTCTCCACTGCATTGCCGCCCAAAAGAAAAAAAACTGTCCCTAGCGAGTGCTTGACTGTGGTTCGCTTACTACGTCCTGCACCCAATTCTGCCGTCGTTGCTCTGTTTTGGCACCCCCAACAGGAACAGCAACTGGGGGCCGCGACGCAAAGAGTGGCGGAGGCCAGAGCCCGTGCCAAGAAGTGCAAGACGAGATACTTCAGGCTGAACAGTAAGTGACCTCGGAGATTAGTGGCCGTCATCCGTCGCCCAGCTTGAGTCCGTTCATCGCGGCCGTGGAGTCATTATTATGTGCGTTTCGGACGTCCTTGTCCCACAGATGCTGGACATGCGCGCTTTCCTAAGAAGTAGCAACAGCCAATGATCTCTAAGTTTTTCCCTCGTGCCTAGCACACCAGGAGGCGTATTGTACCGCACAGCAAGCGCGATGGACGAGCGACGTGTCGCGGCGCGCCTCCCGCAGCACACAACAACGATTGGAGATATTTCAGATATTTTATTGCGCATTTTGTTCGGCGGGCCAAACGTTTGCGCCGACGCACGAGTGCAATCGTGTGGTACAACGCACCGAAAACGTATTAACACTTTGAGAATGCTACACTGATTGGTCGTCCATCGTTCAGTGAGCAATGGTCTAGGGGTCCGACTAGTACCCTCATGTGCCAAGACGCCCTGCGAGGAACCTATTCGGACAGAAAATAATATACGGCAGCACTTGGCGGTGCTTTGTTCGTCGACGTCCACAACCAAACGATGAGAAACAACGCAACCAACCTTGCGAATCATGAGTGAGACCCTCGACGTCGCAGCCGCAGCCTTGTCGTACTTCCGTCGTCCAACCACTGCTGAAACTCTGCCTGCTTTCAGGGCCCTATTAATCACGATCACGAACGCCGAGCAGCGACTTTTCACCACAGAGTCACTCGTGTCAGTGATGGCAAAAGAATCAGTTATCTTGAGTGGAGTACAGTGAAAAATGCTCATTGTGTCTCGTCTTGTGCACGCGTGTAGCATTCTGTTAAGATGCACCCCCTCCAAGAGTGTGTGCCTGTTTGATCATTGCACGGAAGAGTGCCCACCAATACTCGGATTGATTCCAGACAAAAGTTGTCGTGTTCCGGTATACTTGCCTGCGCCTACCAGTTGCGCCCTGGTCTACCTGTCGTTGCCAGCTGTGAAGATAGCAGTGACTTGGACTTGGGCAACGACTCGGGCACGCGGAGCGACGGTCCGGATGAAGGCTGGTTGAGCACCGACGAGCTTCCTACGGATGAAGGTGAGTAAAAACCTCACTTTGACGGCATTGAAGTACGTGGCCAGGAATGATCATTGCCTTTCGGAAGTCTAGTCCTCTTGTCGGTCTCTCTGTAGGCAGGTACGCTCGGGGCGGGATTTTGAGCGGCGCTTAATTGTACACATCTCTTACGTTAGGGTATTTTTGTTTCGGCCTGAAACTTCTCACTTGTTTTAAGGCTAACTGATGAGGCAGGCACCATGGACACTCTGGAGGCAGCTGTGATATCAACGGTAAAACAGTGAGGTAGGGTTATGACGAGCAGAAGCGCCTCGTGATATTGTGTAGAGCCGCCGCGATTGGTAACAATAGAAGCTACAAGACCCTGCTGAGGGTGAGGGATCTGTTGTTTTTGCGATTTGGTCCTCGCAGTGGATAAAAATGGCATCACCTGCTTGCACGTATGCTTTTGACATTTTCAAGAACAAGTTTGGGGTAAACTGCTCGTCTTAATCGGTGATTCTATCCCTGCTCGGTGACCTTGCAGACAAGTCTCGGAACGCGTGAACGGCGGCACTATCGAGGACAGAGGTGTCGCCGAGGCCTCCATCAAAAAAGCACCAAAAGCAAGAACCGTAGCTGTTGAAGCTTGGCTCGATACATGAAGGGGGTGGGTGGTAAAGGAACCGCCAGAGGCTTTGCGTCTCTTCATTTTCAAGCTAGGTGCTTGAACGTCAGTTGTTCAGTAGACAGAGGCAGGACGTGATCACGTCATACTAAGAGGGGTAGTGTCAAACGCTTACTTACCTTCATTTTCACTCGACCGGCTTGAGCGTCAGTTGTGCGGTAGGCAGAGGCAGGACGTGGTCACTTCACAACAATAGGGGTAGTGCCAAACACGTGTCCCCCTTCATTTTCACTCGACCGGCTTGAGCGTCGGTTGTGCGATCGGCAGGGGAAGGACGTGATCACTTCATGACAAGTGGGGTAGCGCCAAACACGTGTGTCCCTTCATTTTCACTCAAGCGGCTCGAGCATCAGTTGTGCGCTCGGCAGGGGAAGGGCATGGTCATTTCATGACAAGTGGGGTAGTGCCAACCACGTGTGTCCCTTCATTTTCACTCGAGTGGCTTGAGCATCAGTTGTGCGGTAGGCAAGACGTGATCCCTTCATACGAAGAGGGTAGTGCCAAACGCTTGTGTCCCTTCATTTTCACTCGACCGGCTTGAGCTTCAGTTGTTCGGTAGGCAAGACGTGATTCCTTCATACGAAGAGGGTAGCGCCAAACGCTTGTGTGCCTTCATTTTCACTCGAGGGGCTTGAACATCAGCTGTGCGGTAGGCAGAGGCAGGACGTGGTCACTTCAAAACAAGAGGGTAGTGAGCCAAACGCTTGCGTGCCTTCATTTTCACTCAAGCGGCTTGAGCGTCAGTTGTGCGGTCGGCCGAGAAAGAATGTGGTCATTTTATGACAAGTGGGGTAGTGCCAAACGCGTGAAACCCTTCATTTTCACTCGAGCGGCTTGAGCGTCAGTTGTTCGGTAGGCAAGACGTGATCCCTCCATACCAAGAGGTGTAGTGCCAAACCCTTGTATACCTTCAATTTTACTCGAGCGGCTTGAACATCAGCTGTGCGGTAGACTGAGGCAGGACGTGGTCACTTCAAAACAAGAGGGAAGTGGGCCAAACGCTTGTGTGCCTTCATTTTCACTCGAGCGGCTTGAGCGTCAGTTGTGCGGTCGGCAGAGAAAGAGCGTGGTCACTTTATGACAAGAGGGGTAGTGCCAAACGCGTGAAACCCTTCATTTTCACTCGAGCGGCTTGAGCGTCAGTTGTTCGGTAGGCAAGACGTGATCCCTCAATACCAAGAGGGGTTGTGCCAAACCCTTGTGTCCATTAAATTTACTCGAGCGGCTTGAACATCAGCTGTGCGGTAGCCTGAGGCAGGACCTGGTCACTTTATGACAAGAGGAGTAGTGCCAAACGCTTGTGTGCCTTCATTTTCACTCGAATGGCTTGAGCGTCAGTTGTGCGGTCGACGGAGGCAGGACGTGAACCCTTCATAACAAGAGTGGTAGTGCCAAACGCTTGTGTCCTTCATTTTCACTCGAGGGGTTTGAACGCCAGTTGTACGGTAGACCGCCCTCCCGCACCCAAGTACTGACGATTGCACAAAATGTCTACGGGCGCGCGCCAACAGAAAAAATGAAGGTTGTGGCTTCATGGATGTGGACGGAGGGCAGGAGGAGGCCCAGGGATCCACGGGCGGAGCAGAGAAGGAGAGTGGACAAGAGTCTTTGTCCGACCCGTTCGACAGCGAAGGTTGGTGCAGGCACATACAGCACATCGTTGGGCGCTGCCGACAGCGTAGTCGTGCTTGAATAAGGATTGCCGTCATTCGCCATCACGGCGGCCGATGGTGTGGACCCAAATAGTGACAAGGCGTTTGGACATTTGGATCATGTCGTCACAACGACATAAGGCAAACGAAGAGTGGGTGGACGGGTAGGCACGGATGTCAACAGGGAACCCTGGCGATCAGATCACCACGGACAGTTGTAAGCTGAAGGGTTTCACCGTAGTTATTATGTCTTGTGATGGCTCATGCTGCCGCTCGTTTTTCTCTGCATGCGGGATTCCATTTATCCGCGGCAGATGAAAAAGGCGATGAAAGGCAAGCCACGATCCGATTGACCTCGAGAATGGCTTCACGTTCCCTGAGGAAGGTGATAGATGTGCAACATGGAACTCGGTTCTGAGCCAAATCGAAAGCAAGCTCCATCGCCACAAGGTTTCGAGGGGAAGACAACTGCGGTCAGAGGGGACAAGGTGTGTGAGCGTCTCTTGCTGTGCATTGTTCATCACGCTAGCAGCAGTAGGGCACAAGGACGCCGGGCTCCGCAGCCTTCACAGGGAAGGTAAAGCGTCCAATCGAACAAAAAGCAGGTGCAGCGTCTCGGTGTGGAAGGGTCGAGATACGGTGTTTCGCCCGCGGACAGCCGAGGAAGAACAGGAACGTCGGAGCCCGGACGTCACGGACAAAGGAGGTGCGACCCACGCATGCCCCCCTGTAAGATATACTCGCAGCAGTCTCTAGACGTGAGGATCCTCGGGGATACGTGTTGAGAATTTCGTATGTCGATGGGTACCACCGATGCAGATACGGGGACCCTTTTGGCCTTGGTTGCGGTGTTGAAGGCTCGCGCATCTAGCGCACTGCTTTCGCTCTCTCCACCGCTACCGCCGTCTCTCTCCAATCAAGTTTCCTTCTCCAACGCTTTCTCCAACGCCAACGCCATCTCAATCTCTACCTCTCTCTCTCGGCCTAACACGGCCGACTACCCACTGCCCCAACATACGCCCAACACGGGCTTGCTGCACCCCGCGTAGTTTACCTTTCAGCCTAGTGCGAATCAGATTCAGATTCTGCGCGCGGTCGTAGTACACCGGGGGGTTGTGCATTCACGCGCAATCGGTAGACTCCCACAACAATAACATCATGCCTACCTCGGAGGATTCCGAAATCGACCTCTCCACCCTCAGCAAAGAAGAGCTGCAACAAGAAGTTCAACGAAGGGTGGACGCCCAACTTGCGAAGGAGAGAGCAGAAATCGCCCCACTGCCAGCAGAACAGCAGTCACCTACCATCGGCGAGCAGTCGCTACGTCCCACACCAGCCGACATACCGCCCACCGGCAACCAGCCTTCACCCTCCAGCCAGGGATCCCAATCATTCAACAATCCCATCAACGTCGCCAACATCGTGGCGCAAGCGGTCAAGGCGACAGCCGAGGCCATGTCTGGACATCAGGGCTTTGCCCACACAGGCACGTTTCGTGTCAACCCCGGCTCTGACATAGACCCTTGGCTTGGAAGTGTGAAGAAAGAGCAGGATTTGTATATTATGTTTGATGTTTTTCGCAGTAAGATGGTGTCGTATTTTCAGGAAGAGGGTGTATATGATGTATTAGGGATCACTGATGTCAAGGTTGGCAAGAGGGGTGTGGATCTAGCAGAGCTAAGGGGCATCTTCGGGACTGATGTGGTGGACAAGTCGTTGAAGTTGTGGAATATTATCATCAGCAAGATTCTATACCCTCCGATCCAGAACTTGATCATGGCATGTGAGAGTCCCCAGCAGGGGTGGAAGATCGTCACGAAGTTCTACCAAGAGAAGAAGGAGTCTGAGAAGACTAGGCTTGAGCAAGAGTGGTTGGCGTTAGAAATGCGTGAGTCGGAGAACCCACAGGATTACATAGCAAGGTCGGAAGCTCTTCGATTACGTCTTGCCTCAGTAGGAACTATCAAAGACACAACACATGCTTACAAGGACGTTGTGCGCGGCCTTCCCCCATCGTATGCCGTGCAAAAAGGAATATTGCTAGCAAGCGATGTCGTGACTTTGCATGCCCTTGAGACTGTGGTGAGGGACGCCCACATGGAGATGGAGCGCGAGAGGAGCAAGGAGCAGAGGCGAGAGGCGGAGCTCGCCCTCGTCGCGTCCGGTGCGAGCCGGAGCGGCGGGGGCAATGGGGGGGCATCCGGGGGACAAGGAGTAGTCGACGGTCAAGACCGTGAAATCCGTGATGGCGAGAGAAACCGTGACGTGTTCGTCGAAGATCCCACCGGTTTTTGCCGCTACCACCAGTCCGAACTACACACGAACGGGCAATGCCGTTACCAGCAGCATCTGCGGCGGACTCGCACGAGAGCAGCCGCCGAGGATCGCCACGGAGGTGGCGGCGGAGGCCGTGGCGGCGGCTGGAGCCAGCGAGGAGGAAGACCGCCGTCGGGAGCCGGCCGGGGTGGCGGGCGTTGGGTGAGAGTTGAAGGGCAGCAGCACCACACCGGTCATGGTGGCGGTGGCTGGAGCCAAGCCTCACCCCCCCCGCGACCTCTTCGTGGACGTGGACCTGGTGGTCGTCTGGGGCGGCACCCGGGGGGTCGAGGGCCCTCGGGACGCCACAGCAGCGACGGGCGTGCCGAGAGAGAGCGGGCAGGGAGAGGCCCGGGGCACGCGCGTTCTGGCCACGGAAGAGAGCAGGCGTACGTTGTGTACTACGCCCACGATGATGGTGGCTACTACGAAGACTATGGCGACTACGACGACGGCTACTACTACGACGGCGGCTACCACGACGCCGGGTACGCCCACTACGCCGGCGGTGGAGACAGCTACAGCTACCCCTCAGGGTACGAAGACAGCCGTTCATCTGACGGCGGCATCCACTACGTCTACTACCCTCCCGCCGGCGAAGATTCGTCATCCGAGCAGCAACGTCAGCCCCCCCCCGCGAGCAGCAGCAGCACCGCTTCCTCCTCGTCCTCTACTCCTTCTCCTGGCGCGCCTCCATCTTCGGGTTACCTCCACCTCTGCACGGCACAATCGGTGCCCCTAGGCAAGTCTCACCCTGACGATTTTTTCAGTAGGATAGGAGTGACGATAGGAGTAGAGTCTGCTTCTAGTGCTTCGTCTTTGCTGAGTGTGAAATCTAGTGAGGGGCCGCCTGGTAGCGAGAGATGGGTAGCTGACTCAGGAGCCAGCAACAGTTTCACCAACAGTAGCTTGCACATGTACGACTTGCAGGAGATACCCTCGAATAGGCAGTATGTCATTGTAGGAGATGGTCGTCTGCTGAAGGTGAAAGCAATCGGTAGCATCAACCTCAGCTTTTTCCAGGAAGGTGAAAACGGTGTGCCAACGACGATGTATGTGAAGCTGACTGACGTGTCTGTGGTCGAGAGTCTGAGTTTCAACTTGTTTTCGACGCATGCTGTTTCCCTTCGGCAACGAATAATCCATGACGAGCGTGGTGTGACCCTGCGTAACGGACTGCTGTTTGCTAGAGAGGAGAAAGCTTCTGCCGCCTATGCAATGCGCATGCCTTACGACCCGTCTGCGATTGTGGTAGACTCTGCTGCCTTGCCTGCCTTCGTGAGATCCCCCGTTACCACCCCCGCCGTTGGCTCCACGCGTTCCTCTTCCCAAAAAGGGGGCTCCGCGGAATCATTGGTGTCCGTATTGCGTGTTCCTTCCGCAGGCTCTGCTACCGTAGTACCTTCGAGTGAGAGCGTCCCGCCCACTGGTCCAACCAGTGTAGTACCTGCGAGTGAGAGCGTCCCGCCCGCCGGCTATGCCGACGTAGTACCTTCTTCGGCTTCCGGTTTTGAGTGTGTGGGTACTTTCCCGGGTATGGATCTTGGAGATACGAGTGTGCTCACCGACGAGCAGCTCATGGATGGCTATGATGACACCCCACATCAAGATTTTTTCCCCGTATTTATCCCAGAGAGTGACGCTGCGAATGTGGCTGGTGTTTTGGATAGCATTGACGGAGGTTCTGATTTTGACTTGGGTGCGGCCGCGCTTGGCCCTGGTGCGTCCCCGTTCACTCTTGGATCGACCGAAAAGTCCGTTGACATCAACCGCTTCCACCGCTCCCTTGCCCACGCTTGCGAGCCTCTTTTGAGAGAAACTGCCCAGCAGAGAGGCATCGTGCTCACCGGCAAGCTGGAACCGTGCACGGACTGCATGAAGGCGAAGGGCAGGCGAGCGTCGGTGCCGCGGGGGCCGGGAGCGAGGGCGTCCAAGCCTCTCGGGCGTGTTCACCTGGACCTGTGTGGACCGCTGGTGCCTTCCCTGGGCGGCAACCTCTACCTGTTCGTCGCCGTGGACAGCGCCTCGCGGTGGAACAAAGTCTACGGTCTCCGGCGGAAGTCCGACGCGCTGGCGGCAACGAAAAGGCTGCTGGCGGACGTGGGGCGGTACGACCTCGGACGAATCGAATGTTTCCGCGTCGACAACGGCACAGAGTGGACCCGCGGCGATTTCCGGCGCTTCTGCGACGACAACGGCATCGGCGTCGAGTTCACCCCGCCCGGCGTCCCGCAGTACAACGGCGTCGTCGAGAGCGCCATCTGGCGGATCATGAAGGCCGGCATGGCCGCCCGCCGCAGCGCTGGCCGTGTGTTCCACGTCGACTTCGCCTCCATCCCCGGCCTCGACGAGCGTGGTGACCGTCTTTGGATGGAATCGGCGAAGTGGGCCGCCGACGCTCTCAACCAGTCGGCGACCAAGGCCAACCCCGGGCGGCGCTCGCCGCACGAGATGTTCACCGGCGAGCAGGGGCCGTTCCGCGTGCTGCCGTTCTTCCAGCCCGGCTTCATGCGCGAGGACCGCCGCACCAAGCTCGACGACCAGGCCACGCTCTGTTACTACCTGAACGGCGGCGACAACCACCCGAGCGGCACCGTCAAGGTCCTCAAGGCGTCCACCGGCCGCGTCGTCTACACCAACAACGTGTCGTGGGTGACGTCGGCGCCAGCCGGCGAGGGGGGTTCCGCTGGTATCACCGCTGCGCCGACACCCCCCCCGTTCACGCCGCCGGTCGTCTCGATCAACTTTGGCCCAGCACCGACGCCTTCGACCGCCACACCGCCACCGCCAGCGCCCACGCCGTCGCCCGCTCCCGCTCCCGCTGCCTCTTCGACTCCTGCCGCAACGCCGCCGCCAGCGACCACGCCGCCGCCCGCTCCCACGACTTCACAGCCGCCCTCTGCCACTTCGCCGTCACCGTCGGCGACCCCCGCTCCTGGCAATCCGTCCTCTGCCTCTCCACCGTCACCGTCGGCGACCCCCGATCCATACCAGCCGCCGCCGCCGCCGGACCCCGCGATGCCCCCGCTTACGGCTCACGCCATGCGGCAGCTTCGCCCGGGTACAAAGGCCGAGGGTATGACAGACCCGCGGCTGCCAAGCCGTACGAGATCGGGCACGAGGCACAGCACAGGACTCATCTCGATGCTAGACAGGAACACTCTGGTGTCGATGTTGGAGGCTCGGAGCGCGGTGGATAAGGAGCGCAGGGAGCTGGGGGGGGCGGAGGCCGGAGAGCCGGGGGGAACGGGGGCCGGAGAGCAGGCGGGAGCACTCGCAGCAGTGGACCCGGGGGCTGCAGGAGCGGGCTTTCCACTCGCATTTGCCACGCTCCTCGCCAACCGGGAAGACATCGACGCCACGCTGCGAGACCAGCGCCCGCCGGAGCAACGCCCTGACCTTCCGCATTGCCAGGCCAGCGACCTTCGTGTCCCCAAGAGCTACAAAGAGGCCATGGCGTCGGAGCACCGGCACCTTTGGAGCGACTCTATGCAAAGGGAGTTTTATGGCTTGTTGGAAGCGGGGACTTTTACTCCGGCGAAGTAGCAACTAGTGGAGAACGCAATTAACGCTAAGTGGGTATTCGATTGGAAGGCAGATGAGTTTGGATGGCCCACTAAGGTTAAGTCGAGACTTGTAGCGAGAGGTGATATGCAGAGAGAGTACATTGACTTTGGAGAGTTGTACGCGCCTACCGTTTCTGTTTCATGTGTTAGGATGTTGGCTGCTTTGGCGTGCGAGTTGAACCTCGACTTGTGTCATTTCGATGTTGAGCAAGCTTTTGTGCGTTCGGAGTTGGAGGAAGACGTGTACATGCGTTTGCCGCAGGGATGTGGAGCTCTATCAGGAATGATTGTAAAACTAGGCAAGAGTCTGTATGGCTTAAGACAGGCATCTAGGCAGTGGCATGCAATGCTGAAGAGGTGTTTGGTGGCGTTAGGATTTGAGCAGTGCATGGCCGATGCTTGTGTGTTTCGTTTGATTGAGGATGGATGTGTTGTTTTGATTTTGGTTGTACATGTAGATGACATCTTTGCTGTTGGAGAGAGGGAGAGATGTGATAAGTTTGGCGCTGACCTTAACAAGTCCGTGCCAGTGAAGAACCTGGGAGAGTTGAGATGGTATTCTGGGTGCTTTTACGAGAGGAATAAGGAGACCGGTAGGTTGACGATTTCTCAGCAGACTTTCACGGACGAGCTAGCAGCAGAATATGGAGTAGTGGGAGGTAGGAGCGTTCCGATGTCTTCGGGTGTGAAGCTTTCTGATTTTGATGCGGATGAGGTGGCGACAGACTTTCCGTTTCGTGAGCTGGTAGGATCGTTGATGTGGCTGGCGACTCAGACTAGACCAGACATTGCGAATGCAGTAAGGGCAGTAGCTAGGTATTGCGCATCTCCGAAGCTGGTACACTGGAATGCAGCGATGGATATTTTAGGCTATGCGAGGAGGACGAGTCACTTTGGTATTTCGTTTCAGAGAGGTACGGTAGAGGGATTCAGCTTGCAGGGATACGCTGATGCGGACTTTGCAAGCAAGGCAGCAGACCGTAGGTCGGTATCAGGGGGGATCGTGACGTGTGGAGGAGGCGCTGTGTCTTGGTTTTCCAGAACGCAAAAATGCGTCACGCTTTCGACGACAGAAGCAGAGTACGTCGCGCTAGGCGACGTAGTGAAGGAGATTTTGTTTTTGAGGCAGATTTGGCGTTTCATGTTGCCGCAGGTCGGCATGCCGTGCATCCCCGTCTTCGAGGACAACCAGGGGGCGATTCAACTAGCGCAGAACCCCATCTCAAACTCGAACTCGAAGCACATAGATGTAAGGCACCATTTTCTCAGGGAACTGGTAGAGAGGAAGGAGATTTCGGTGATTCACGTGCCGTCTCCGTACCAGCGTGCAGACTTTCTTACGAAAAGTTTGCCCAAGGATGCGTTCGAGTCTCACCGTGATTTTGTGATGAATTTGGCATGAGTTTTTATTATTTTTCTGATGAGTTTGGTTTGGCTTTCGATTTGATTGTTTTGCTTTCCGCGCTAAGTTATTTTCACGCGCGATGCAGCAGTATTCATGTTTCTTGGACTTGGTTTTCGTGTCATATATTTTGGAAGTAATCTTGATCGCATATATTCAGGAAAAGACGTCTTTTGGTTGAGATATCCGATATTGTTTCGTAGTTTGCAGTGAAGATACTGTTGCGAGCAGGGGGGATGTAAGATATACTCGCAGCAGTCTCTAGACGTGAGGATCCTCGGGGATACGTGTTGAGAATTTCGTATGTTGATGGGTACCACCGATGCAGATACGGGGACCCTTTTGGCCTTGGTTGCGGTGTTGAAGGCTCGCGCATCTAGCGCACTGCTTTCGCTCTCTCCACCGCTACCGCCGTCTCTCTCCAATCAAGTTTCCTTCTCCAACGCTTTCTCCAACGCCAACGCAATCTCAATCTCTACCTCTCTCTCTCGGCCTAACACGGCCGACTACCCACTGCCCCAACAGACGCCCAACACTGGCTTGCTGCACCCCGCGTAGTTTACCTTTCACCCCCCGCTACTTCTTGTGTTAAAATATCCCCGAAACTTCTTTGGTATCTCCGGGATGACACTGCAAGGCATTGGATGTGCCTTGGAGTTTTCGTGCATGGCCTTGTTCGGGTTTTACTACTTCCCTACTGATCGCCACCCCAATGGTCTCATGCTCGTGTTCCTCGTCACTTTCGTTCCAGGTCGGTCGCGAGTTCCGAGTTGTTGTTACCCGGAACACCACGGACCCCGCGATAATCCAAACGGTCATGGCATCGAAGAAGCTCCAACCGCGTTACAAAAGTAATTAATGGTGCTAACGCATTCGCGTCCATTGCTTTGAGAAGTCTTTCCTCCGGAGTAGGTGCCACACAAGAGGCGAAGTGCAGACTCAACGCGATCATCCGGAGTTGGTGGCGCATTTCTTGGTAGGAAATGATAACAACAATGGAGATTCTTCCGACCGTCATCCAGGTGCATTGTTTTCAAAAACGAGCTGAGCGTGCAAACGTAAATCTACAAATATGCGTTCTGTGACCGCAACCTCCTGGTGTCTGTTCAGGTCCACCTTGAACACCACGCTGACTGTGAGATACAATACGTTGCGAAGCAGCTCAAGGAAGACAACGTGATACCATTCCAAGAACTGGAAAATTAGGCGGATGACATTGAAACGGCAGGTATTGAAACGGCAGACAATCTCCACTGATCACAAAAATCCTTCGCTGCGTCAATGTGCAGTTGAAGTCCATCAGGGGCATCAACCCTCCCAACAAATCATCCGCAAGCAGCACTCCCGCCACCGAACTTCCCCTACCTGTACTCCCTTCCCAACTGCCTCTACGACCTTCAATAGATCGTTGATGGACCACCTGGAACAATGCTTGGGACAACGTGCAACCCTGTGTGACCCCCTGTCCAACGTAAAACACTTTAGGCGGTTCCCTCTGTGTGTAGCATGACAGCGCTTTCGTACACTCTGTAATCTTTTTCAGCACGCTCCACAATTTCCCCTTTAGACTATCCCATACTTGGACAGTTGTTTCCACAGCCCATTTCTCCATACTGTATCGTGTGCCTTTTGCACGTCCAAGAAGAAGCAGTATATTTGGTTCCCCGCCCTCTTTCTCCCTTGGATGACTCTCCGAGGGCGAAAGACACACCCAAATCAAGGCAGAATAATTTCTTGTTTGTTCCTGATCATCGCAGTCCAAAGCGCCAAGATGCAAAGCTCAACAGGAAACCTTGAAGCTCTCAGTGAGTGACATTTATAGCCCGTTGATCGCGATCATAATCGGGTCACACTCATGTCCCGATCATAACCCGATCGTGACTCGGTCGTGATCCTGACTCGGCTTTCAGTGATCGGATCATGATCGGATCATGACCGAGTCGTGACCGGGTCATGACTTCGTTTGTTGTTTCTCACTTTCCCAGGAATTTCCCCTCAGTCTGCTGGATCATTACCCGATCATGATCTAGCCATGGCCGAGTCGTGGTTGTGTCATTGTGCCATGACTGGGTCATGATGAATGCACAATGACCGAGACTTGATCTTGTCATCACCCAACCATGACCCGAGGGTCTGCCTTGATTTACTGCATCAACGCAAACCTACAGTAGCACCTATGGCGGCACCCCCACCCAGAACTTATCCACCCATCGTCAACCTACCGCCTATCGTGTGGGCTTAGGGTTAGGGTTGGGGTTGGTGCAAGGGGTTCATGCTTCTGCCAAACCACATAATCTGTTGGTAAGGAGTACCAGAATTGCATTAGTCACCACTGGCCATGACTCGGTCATGGCTTAGTCATGACCAAGTCGTAACGGAAACATAACCGAGGCATGACTTTGGTCATGATCGAGATCATGATCGAGATCATGACTCCATCTCGATGACTGGGTCATGACCCGATCATGACCGAGTGATGATTGGGTCATGATTCCGTCATAGTCAAAGTCCAATGATGTCAAAGCCCAGCTGGCTGCTGCCATACGTATCTTATATCAAGTCCATCTTTCCCGTGGGTCGAGAGCAGGAAACAAATACTTTTGGATCACTTTTGGGCGTAAGGCCAGCATCATGGATCACATCCTCCACGTTTTCAGCAGCGGGTTTATCCCCCGAAATCTCTGCAGGAAGAGTGCGCCATGCAACCACCGTCGCAACACCCAGGGCAAGAGCGGATGAGTAGAAAACAAACCGGTGGTCGACCCAACCAAGGTTGTCGGAAGAAATTGACCACGCGAACAAGACCGCGGAGCCAACGGCACTGGCGAACCGACCGAAGCTCTCAGCTGTGCCGTATAGCCCGCTGAGCTTGCCCCGCAATCTGGAGGATACGATGTCAGTCGACGCCACTGCCAACGCGATGCCCACCTTCGTTCGAGAGGTCACGCGCGGGAAACTTAATTAGTGTCCGTAAGGTAGTGGGCCAAGGCAAACACGGCATGGACGTTACCCCAGTGGAATAGGAGGGAGCACGCCCAAAAATATAAAGGCGGGCAGCGTCATCCTCCTATTATTGCTCGATTCGTCGCGTGACGCATGTACGTATGCAGCAAGGAAGAGGCTTTCAGTGGTGCAAGAGAAATTTCGTCGCATTTGAATGGCCCATTTCCATGTGTTTCGTATCGGGGACTCACCGCTGCCAAGCTACAGTTGACGATAGTCACACTCGCAACCGACGCTACGAACAGCGTGGTGTAGTTCCAGCTGAAGAGCTTGGCGTTCGGGGTAGCAAGGAAGGTGCAGATGCCTAGTAGACAGCCTGTACGCATCCACGTCACCGCTCCAAGAATCTTGATCACCGACGGAAATATGAACACCTGAGCCACGACCATAATACAACCCGACACGAACAGAACCTGTTCGGACGGAAACGCAAGTAACGATCGCGCATTTCATGTATTATCTGGCATGATGGTGATCACTACCGTGGTGAAGATGGAAATCTCGGGAGCACCCAAGTCGGAATCGAGGTTCAGCAAGCGAGGAAATAAAAAACAGTCGTGGCCCCGACTTTAGAGGGTGGTGTGACGAAGGCCCTCAACCCTCTTACATCGAGGCCCCGTCTCATAGGGCACCCTCTTATATAGGAGCCACGACTGTTGTACTGAGGTGCCGTCAACCTCGTCGATTATCCTTTTTCGGGTAAAAAAACACATGTTTTCGTCGCCTCCACACCTTGCCGATCTCCATGGTGCCCCAGTCCAGCCCCCCAACACCCACGGTGGAGAGCGCCCAGAGAGGAAACACCTCTTCAAAGCCCGCAAGGAGGCTCTATCGCATCTCGGTCGGTTGGGTTAAAGGCGGCACGGGGGGGGGTGGCGGACAGCCCGTTCGTTCAGTGAATGGCATCATTGCGCGTTGGTGCAGGGCCCACACGGTTTCGGTTCGGCGTCCGCCAAGAAATGAGAGCCTATTCTCAGCATCGCGGAGCGTTTCGTTGCAGCTCGTTCGTGCAGATGTACCCGCGTCGTGAAAACTCGTGAATTGTGCCAAATGAATACCCCGCACTCCACTTAGCCCGGTGAATATATTTTTCGAGTTTTTTTTCGAGTTGGGTCGTGTCATGTGTGATCCATGTCGAGGGGTTTCAAGCATTCCCGTCCCCATGCAACCCCCCATGTAGAACTAAAATGGAAATATTTTCGGAAACGCACCTTCAAGGATTCGATGTTCCTTTGATCGGCGGGTGACCCTAATGGTAGTCCGGTGGCATGGAATGTCGATGAAGGTCGTCATGTGACCCCAATCTGTCCCTCCTCAACCCAACTAATTCGACGAACAGCGCATTGTGGCTCCCACCTTGGCTGCTTCTTTCAGAACGTACAGGAGATGGAAAGCTTTCCTCTGAGCAATATAGGGTACACCGGGACCTGATCTGAGTGATGGATTCGATTCAGATCCTTGTATTGCTTAGATCGTCCAAGAATCATCCGGTTACTTTCACGCAGGCCCAACAGCCAACATAACGCATGAATGATCAACCAGTTCGCTCATTGCACAGTACTTTGAGGGGGCTGCAGCGGATGGATTCGTGCCGAATATGTTCGCCTTCTGTTGTCTCCCCGACTTTACATGCGAGAGAACCATATCCGACCCCCCACCAAGTCGGCAGCCCGCGCGTCTCACCTGCACAACACACACGAGAAACAACAGGGGCTTAACCCTCGGCACGGACAACAAGCCGCCAGGGCCGCAATGCCCCTGCTGTTCTCGATTGCTGGTGACGGGTGGTTCACAAGCATCGAGGCCACCTTCCTTGTGCTTCGCTCGGCCTCCGGAATCATTCATGCCGCGGGGTTCCTGTGCTCCTTGCTGAGCAGACACGTCCCCGTGCTCCAGGGACCTGTAGGCTAACTTCCCGCCTTTTGGGGGATGTCGGGCAACCGGTCGATGCCGCGCGGGGGAGCTTTCGGCGGAATGGTCGGACGCGTCTTCGCTGCTACTCTCACTGAACGATGGACACACGACGCAAGGAACGAATGCGCCGGGACCAAGGTTGTGGAGTTGTGAATAGCGCCCATGCCTTTGGAGAGTCGTGCGTGACCCGTGCCGTACATGCGCCTGAAAAGTAACTCTAAGCATGCGCGACGTACTCTGCTTTCTCGCGACTTAACTCTGTCCAAACGTCTGCCTAGCGCTCGATGCCCCAACCAAGCCTCTCACTTTAGTAAGAGAGAACCACGAGAAGCCTGGCGTTGCGTGTCCGCAACAGCATCCAATGGATAGCACGCACGTCCCCGGCTAAGCAAATCCTATTGCACAGCCACCTGCCCTTTGAAGCACAGGCCGGCGTGTAGTTTCACCTACGAAATCTCGATCTTGAACGGTTCTTCTCGAAATCCTTAGTTTCGGGAACGTACGCAATCACTGTCGGCAAGAGCAAGAGCGCCGCACCCATCCCGACGAGGTTCGGAAGCAGGAAAGGAAATCTGGACGGGATGTGCGAGTGGGGCGTCCAACTGAAAAACCTGTTTTGCCGGGGCTTCTTGTGGAGACAAGGGAACTCAACTTGACATCCCGATGAACAACACGGAATGGGAGAGCATGTGAAAAACCAAGAGCCAGCTCGCTAAGTGAGTATTCAAGTGACCTTTTCCAGCATCGGATCAGGATGTTAACCTCGCGCTTGTTTTGCTACTGTCGGGAAACGTACCGTTGAGGCTTCCCTCGACTATCGTAGTTGCCACGTTGCGTCAAATTCCTCGCCCCTTGGCGCTATTAAGGTTTCTGCGCGGAAGCGGTCTGGTGTGCCAAAACGCGCCTTTACCGGGAGGGAAGCTCATGGAGGCCTTCATCACTCGACACCCCGGACGAGAAACTGGGTTCGGACAATGTGACCAACTGGTTGAGCGAGTGGCACACAGAGCGTAGTCAGGCGACAGCAACCCCCTCTACCTCCAGAACGTTCGCTCCATGAAAGTGTACCACAGATGGGTATGATGTCGGGCATGTCAGTATATATGCGATGGGGTTGCGCGAAAATCCACTCACCTCCCGAACAGACCTGTGGCAGAAAACACGCTCGGGTAGTGATCAACCGGCTGCGCCAAGAGTCCCCCCATAGCCGAGCCGAAGACTATAGTACCAGCTCTGGAACCTGATGTAAAAGCAGCGGGGGGAGGGTGCACGACATTGAGGAAGAGAATTTCCGCGGTCTTCCCGCAGTCTGTACAAAGTCAACACCCTACTAGAGTCGTTGTGAGGGCCGCGACGCCTCGACGCGCTAACTGAGGGGAGCGTCAATCCTTGCACCACTACGTTCGACATCAGCCACAAGTTGAGGGCCCATCGACGCGCCCACTCGCTTAGGTTTTTCTGGGTACGCCTCACCGTCGATGTAGGCCATCGCTTGCACCACGTGCGAATTGGTCCCGCACACTTCGTACACGGTGGTCCTGACCGCGGGCGTGATGCCGTTCATGATCCCGAGGACGAACCTGGGAGGGCCAACCGCATGCATATGACAGTGTTTGTTGGAGTACGCACTGAATTGCGGCACGGTTGGAAATAACCCAAATACAAGCAGCGCGTGTCACCCAATAGGGATTCCTGCCATGGCTTGGAGGCACCCTGCGATGAACACGAAGAACCGCGATGAACAGCGCAATTTGTTCAGGTTATCACGAAAAACGCTATTCTTCCTACTCAATGACCAATCCAGTGCGGGTTGTTGGCTGCTTCGAGAGATCTGTTCGCTGTTGAATGCGCGGCAACAAAAATAAAACCTCCAATTTCGGTATCTTTCTATGACATTCTCCAACCCACCGCGGACGAACGTTTTACCAGGCTTTTGAGCTGCCCGGCTGCTCAGAAGCAACGGGCATGGGTCGCCCGGGCCAAAATCGAATTCCAACCTCATGAACATGGCCATTGGATCATTGCTTCGGCGCACACAGGTCATACGCGCGCCGCCAGTGTGTACCTTCCGCAACTTCTGCCAGGACCCACCGTGGCCACAACCCACCTGGACGAAATGGCGAGCTCATAGGTGGTGGATAGACCAAATGTCAGCGACAGCACCGCAGTAGCCGATAGCCCGACGAGAATCACGGGTCTCCTCCCTACGGAATCGGAAACGTACCCCCACAAGTACCCGCTCAGCAAACGTCCAAGCGTGAAAGCGCCGGCCACGTAGCCGGTATAGAATCCTGTTTGGGGAATCACCATCGGGGAGTTGGGAAGCAGGAAATCAATTCCCACAGGTGTTGTAGCGCCAATTCAAGCAACACCTTCCGGTGGGAAATCGCAGCGCCCGCAAGGCGTGCAACGGTGCACAGGGTCCTCAAGTAGCTGTCGCGACCCATGAACATGTTTGAGGAATTAATTCGGCACCCGCCCTCTCTCGGAGGGAAAAAGAGGTAGGGATTGAGGTTTGAAAAGGCTCAGAGGAAACAGAGGCCGGGCACTGTCCTGCATTCGTAGGGGTGGACCACTTATCCCTAGCTTTATTTGAGATGGACGCCAGGCCCACGACGAAGAGCTCCATACTCACACAATTACGTAAACATTGGCCGGAAATTCGACATGCCGCAAGAAGGAGCTCTGCAAGAAGCAGGCGCTGGCGGTGCGCAAGTAAGTGTGTTGTAACATTGCAGTAGTATTGGACGGCACTTCTGAGTGGTGGAGGATGGGCAACGTTTAGGCACAAATCGATCGAGATCGGAGCAACTTGGGGTCGGCAGCACCTGCAGCATGCTCGTGTTTCGTGCTTGAGAGCGCCGGTCACCGATACAGCCAACCATCAACGCAGAAGGCACCAATCAAGCTGAAAGTTGCGGAGGGCTTCCAAAGTAGTACAGGACGGCCGATGGGGTGATTTCTCGCGTCTCGGGCCTTCGGCTCAAGAAAGTGCGTGGTTCAGGCCTTCAGACTGGAAGTATTCATTCATTCATTCACGTTTTCCATTCTGTGAGACCTCTGGAGCCAGTCGATCTCTTAGAGGAAATACTCCACTTGATGCGTTTCCACAGCAGTTGGGCCACGCTAGCACGGGCGTCCGCCTCGGCGGAACGTTCAGGCCTTCTGCCTTTCTTGTGATCGTATCTTTTGGCTGCAGCATGGTCCGCTGGCACATATCAGCACAGCCGTACGTTGTAGAATGCATACTTCTAGTAGGAGGCGCAGCGTATCTGAGTACATTTTCTTTCACATACATTTCCACGCCGGGACTGCATCTATGTCCAGCAGCAAGCAGTATCGATAGAGCGATTTGTTCCAATACACGGGGCAGAAGGACTATTCGACTCTGTGTAGGGTCTTCCTGTTGGGTATCGCAAATGCAAGGGAGGCCACCGGCAGTCCAGTGCATGCATCAGCACCAACCACAGCGGTCACGTGGTTCGATTTAAATTTTGAACGGTTTCATCGACGGAGAGACAAAACAAGCTTGCTGATGCAACACCCCTTGTCAAGAACAACAAATTGTGAAAGGTTTCTACATATCGATACCCATTGTCAAAAACAAAAGATTTTGAACGTCCTTTTCGACATCCCTTCCTTGTCCAGGACTAATGATGTTCAAATATTCTGTCGATATCCTTGTCAACTGTAGCAGGTTTGCGAAGGCTTCTATCGAGGGCGAACAAAAACAAATTCCGACACCCACCCGACAACACTATTTTTCAAACCTCTCCGGGGGGCGTGTATTCATAGTCGTGCATGCCGTAGTCGTTAGACCATTGACCTCGCATCCCTACAAAGCCGGGACGGAGCACGCCGGGTCCTCACCGGACCAGGCTCTCACATCACCAAGCGCGAAGCGCCGTGAGGAATTTGGCGAGTCGCATGAAGGGTACGCTGCATCCTGCTAAGGGTGTTCGGCATCTTGTGCCTACTTCCTTGCGTACGGATGACAGCTGCGTGTGACCCTGATTATTTTCTGGTGCTTTCACTTCCTGCGACAGTTATAAGCACTTTGTGTAACTGCCTCGAGAATGCTTTACCATTTTAGCACAACGTGGTGCGATCATCCCCCTTGCGCGGAGTGAGGGTTCTCCACCTCGCACAACAGGACCTACTCTACCACCATTCATGGTTACCTCAAAACAAAACCAGAGGTAAAAAAAAACACGGTAACCTGGTTGCCGAATTCACGAGGTGAATTGGCTTGTTTTACGACGTTGTTGCCAAGCGACGAAAACCCAATCCCAATGGCAAACACCAAGAGAGGGG